GTGCATTCCTTTTCATACGCGTGAGCTCTCCGACAAAGTCAAAACCCTTAAATCCAGCGATCAAGCGGCTGTATACTTCATATCTATAGCTGTCAATATAGTCTTGCATGGCAAGATTGTATATTCTAGAATATATATTCTGTATATACAGATATTGCTGCATGATCGCTACCATGAATATTTTTTCGAGAACCAATCGGGAGTGTAAGGATGTTGATCATCAATCAGACCATGTCGCTTATAGTATCGCTCTCTTCGCTTTGTATCTTTATGATCATAGTCACGGTATGCTTTTAAATTTGTGCGATCTTGATATTGCTGATAGGGCTCACCATTGGACTTGATTGCTCCAAACGACACGACTCTGCCATCGCTGAGCAACGCATCGTATTTTTTGCCCTTGCGCTTGGAAACGCGGAGCTTATATCCTAACTCTTGCATGGTTTATAGTACAGATGTCATTATCCGAGCTGCTTGAATAGTTTGTAGAACTCGTCGTCTTTTCCATGCTGCAAATAGTAGAGCCATAAGATACAGAAGCCATCACAGTGCCCGAATCGGGGGTCTAGGATATCAATTTCGCGATAAGAATAGTCTTTGAGAATAACGCGTTGTCTTGGAAGGCCTAGAGGATCGAAGTAGCGCTTGTCTTTGTTTGAGACTACCAGCCAATGTGTGCCTCCGATAATTGGATTGCCCATATTGATTCTTGTATAATCTTTGCTACTATCAAGATTTTGCTTGAAATCGATTTGATCTACCTTTACCCCAAGAGAAGTAGCGAGTTTCATTAGTTGAGCATCTGTTGTTCGAGACAATTTAATAATTTTGTTCTTGCTCATATTTTTTTTTTGCTGAAGATCTATATCTTGCCCCATATAAAGCAATTTCGTACTATACAATGTCCACCGCAAGCGATATCTCTGCTTTCGAGCACTCCGTCGAACCCGCTCCAGCTGAAACGCTCTTCCATGATAAGAAATGGACCTATATTCAGGATTCGACTAGTAACACTGGTCAATACGCTGGTCAAATTCAATTCAACCTTTCCACGATCTCTTCTCAAGCTGCGTTTGTCAACTGGGAAGAGGCTGTCATTCAGCTTCCAATCAAGCTTCAGATTCTCAATGCTGGAGAATCTTCTGTTACCTTGACCGCTGCTTGTACCATTGATCAGCTTGTTCCTAAGACAGGTGCCTGGCAATTCATTGGTTCCGTTCAAGTTGTTGTAGATGGCGTGACCGTTCAGACGAATCAAGTTCATGAAAATGTGAATGCTACGTTCAAGGCGCTAACCGAATGGGACTACAGCTCCTACGTTAAACGAGGACCAACGAGCAGCTTCGTGCTAGATGAATATCGTCTACCAATTCCCGGAGTCGCACAAAATCTTGACAACATGGCAACATCCAATTATATTAACGGCACCGTTGGCGAATGGGGTCTTTTTAACACATTTTCGAATGTAAGTGCGTACGAACGATCGCTATTCACCGCGCTTGATCAAAGCAGCGGTAAACTTGCATATGATATCATGGGATCTAATGCCAGTATCCAAGTTGTGTCAAAGCCGCAAGTATACGTCGCGCCATCTGGCGCCGTTGCTGCCGGTGCTCCATTTTACGTAGCTCATTGTTTAGCCTGCATTAAGCTCTCTGACTTATCCGACTACTTCAAGAAATGTCCACTGCAAAAGAACCCGAACCGGTTCATCTTTATCATCTAACACAGCTCTGCTATGTCAATTCCCCCTGGTGGATCAGCAGGTACGGTTGCAGCAACGAATATTGCTAGCATCAACAGTAACATGAGCTCCGGCATCACTTGCCCAATTCTCTGGAATGGTTCATCCGCAAATACAACCAGCACTGGCGAATCAACTGGTTTAGCTATTCCAGGATCAACAAATTTATTAGTCACAGCCGATGTTAATGGTACTGCAACTTCGGGAAGTGGTATTGCTCCATCGCAGACTTTCTCTCGTCTACTGGTTCCAACGTATAGCCCAAATCCATCAGCTGACAACGCTCTCATCCCAAAGAAGACGTTCCGTTACTTTGAACGTGTAATTAACAAGTTTACTGTCCAAGCCGGTCAGTCATTTTCATGGACGGTGACGAATAATATTGCCAATTCGAAGAAATTGATTATGCAACCTGTTATTACAAATGTAACCCCTGGATCAAGCTCTTTACCAGATGTGATCAATCCATTCCGTAGTTGCTTTTCAACGATTCCAGCCACGACGAGTCCTTATGCAGCTTTAAAAAATATCCAAGTAACGGTGGGTAACGTCCCAATTTGGAATAACCCTGCCAACTTCGGCTACGATCTATTCGTACAAGAAATGTCAAAATCTGGCGTTGATGGTGGCCTCGATGATGTCACTAAAGCTGGCTTACTGTCTCAGCGTCTATGGGAATCACTGTACCGATTCATTGCTGTTGACATTGGCCGTCGTCTACCCAGCGAAGATGGTGCAAGCAAGTCGATCACTTTTTCGGGCACGAACAGCACGAACTACGCGCTTACGATTTATTTTCATATTCTACGTGAAGTCGTAGCAACTGTAGATACTGCTATGGGCACTGTCTCTCAAGGCGCGGTTCAAAACTAAATGCCAACCCGCTATCAATTAGTATTTTTTTTATTTGCCAAATATAGCATCCAGGCACAAATGAACGGGTTCTTCACTGATAACCAAACTAAGCAAAAAGCGTATGATCGCTACTACAATGCAATGGCCAAAAGTGATTTTGTCCAAGGCGCGAAGTTGAAAGCAACGATTCAGCAGCAAGCTTTAGACGGCGCTAGCAGCGATTCTTTGGCAACTTTGTTCCAACAAGACGTGGGCAAATCACGAGATTATGACTATGATCAGATCACTAGTAAGCTCACGAAGAAGGCTCCTCCAGTAGTTAAGGGTGACGAAGGAGAGCTCCACGACTCACCAAAAGAAACCAAACCCTCACCTAAAGAAACCAAATCCAAATCCACATCTTCAAAAAATATAAGTATGTTCCTCAGCAAACTGATACGGACGGGAGCATGAACGCTCCACCGAGCTTCTCGTACGAGGAAATGTTCAATGACGAAAATTTAATGAATCATATGAACAACTTCGATTACACTAAAAGAAAGAAACACATGGATGTGGAAGAAGCTTGTCAAGATCCTATTCAAAATACTTGACGAAAAATAAAGATTTTAGAAGCAAGGTATTTATGCATAACCGTAAGACTACTAAAGAAGACATTGACGATAAGGCCAGTGAAATCGCAGTTCTTGAAACGTAAACATGATGCACCTGATCCAGATGAGACATCTCCTAAACTCCGACCCAAAACTAAAATCAAACAGGACGAAATGGAGCGCAAAATGAGCTCTGCTGATCTTGGTGCTGATAAGAAAGAGGAGGTTAAGGAGCGTGTAAAAGCTTATTTTAATAAAGTTGTTGATGATAGCACAACTGCGAATTTAAACCATCTTCTTAACTTATGTAGCCCAAGCTCTATTCTGTATTATACAGAACAATTGTTTGACTTGATTAACATATTGCTGTTAGCTCGGTAAAATTAATCCGTTGCAAGCCGTTCGGCATGAGCAGTGTCTTATACGCCGTGAATTGGGACTTAGGTGATGTTTTGGCTGCCATAAATGCAACAATGTACCCACCATCTGTACGATATCTCTGTTTTTATTGGCTTAGAAATGATGTGCAGCGAACGATGTCTGTAAAAAAAACTTTGATTATCAGTATCCCCCGGAATCAGATATCAAAACGATTTTAACGCCAGAATGACTGGTCGCGCCAAAGGTTTGTCGGCGCGTCGGCGCGTTCCCACACCAACGTTTTGGCCAGTTCTAGACTAGACGGAAGTGAAGAAGAACTAGGATAGAAAACATGGCCGAAATGTTGGTGTGGGAACGCATAGAACTGCTGACTGGGGAAAGGAGGTATTTATTTCAATGCGGCATTAGAAACTAATACTTCGCCAACTAACCTCGGCATGCTCTTACGCATCTTCGCTACGTTTACGCTTACGGAATCGAATATTCTTCCTCAGCTGAGCAGGTATGGCAGGGCCGTTTGCCCAAGCGTCATGCCAAATTTGATCGCATGTGAGTCGGTTTCCTTCTTCTTTTCGGTGCACGCAGTTGTAGAGGGGTACTTATCTATCGTGCAGTTCCACACAGGTCTCGCAGAAAAACGGCTCTCAAACCCTTTGGTTTTTGGTGGAGCCATAGCAGAACAAACCTTGCATAGGTGCTGACGTCGCTTGTACTTGTATTTTCTCTCTTGCTCTTGTAGTTGGTGCTCGGGTCGAGGCAGTGGGATCGAGGCCAAGTCTTCTGCTTGCTTATTACTAGCCAAACTTGTCGCGGTGAGTGCTAATAACTCGACATGTAAGAAACGCATGTACTCTGCATGACTTGAAACTTGTTTGTTATCTTTTCGCATTTTTATCTTATGCACGATGAAGCCGTTCACGATGGCCATGTCGACGAGCCCGAGAAAGAGCTGCCGGTAATACTTCTTGAAGGCAACGCATCGCTGGATTGAATACCTCTGGAGACGTAACTGGTCGTGGCGGTCAACGCCCCCCATTCCACAATGATAATCGGCAAGTAACTTAGGACATGGCACCACTTGAGATATCGCAGATCCCTTCTCCTTTCTGGTGACGGTGGTAGCCGTGGTTGCACAACCGGTAGCAATTAGATTCACAGGTTTTGAGTCCATCCAGGACACAGCAACCAGGTCAGAGTGATCCTTCGACTAGGCAATACGATAAGTTCCTCGGGGCATCGACACGGGCCGCTTTTTCTGTGTGAACGTGAATCCAGCTGGCCACCCGAGACGGTCGCTTCGGTGTGTCCCGACGTAGTAATACTCTTTCTCCAACAGTCCGATCGCGAGTGCGCACGATGAGTAGAAGTTATTTGCAATAACAAGACGTTTTCCCTGCTGCCCATTCAGAGCTTTGGAGACGTTGCGAATGCCAGCTTTCTGCGCGACACCCTTCGCTTAATACTTGGCTACGTTTCGCTCTGCAGGAGTCTGCGCGTTCTTCGACTCGTCCGAGGCACCCATGTAAACTTCAGTGCTGAGCCATACAGAACACCAAGCACAATAGTCAGCTAACTCTGTATCCGACAGAACATGCCATTCTGTACCATCCGGAACAAGCTAATCAGCGTAGCTTATGCTGTATCGTACAGAGTAAAAAGAGAATACGCACCGAGAACAATACCCGGATTCCGCACAGCAGGCCATGTACACCTTCGTCCCGTACTTGTGCGGTTTGTCCTTGTTGTAGACGCGTACCGGATTGAACTTACTTCGGTTAGGAATGGTCCCCTCGTCGAAGCTAATGCGCGCTCCAAGTCGATACCCTCGGCGAAACGTCTTCTCCAGTGTCTGCAATACAGGTCGCACCTTCCAAGCCTTATCAATCGTAGCAGCGCCCGCGGCTGAGCTATGAAAGTGAAGGTATCGCATGATGGTACAAAAAAGATCCCGAGACATGTATCTGTTGAACGTTCCTCGGGGTATCGCTCCATCTTCCTGTGTCCACCAGTGCTTGTCGAGGCCATCCGTGTGACTGCACAACGAGCGCGCTATCAGCAGACCCACCACGTGCAAAATTTCGTGAGCCTTTATCGATCTTGTCTTCGTCAGCTTCTCCACCAATGCTTCTGCTGGTTGTACTGTCTTCGTGGGGTCCTTTGCGCAAGACTCGAGCTGCTTAGCACGCTGGGCGGCAGCGACACTTGGTATACACTCGATACGATACGCCTCGGACTCCTTCGCAATGTGAAACCACAACTTCTTAGGGAGAAAGTAGAAAAACATACCCAACGGCGAACTAACGAAAGCTGCGGCAGACCTGGTGGGCCCAAACTACCAGTCACAGCATATAAAGAGGCAGCTGAAAGTACTCTGTATGATACTATCTTATCACAATGGTTTTGATCATAGATCTCCCAACCAGAAGCAGCCATCGTGCGCATAGCAATATCATCTTGTGCAAATTCGCTGCTGTCATATTCAAACTCGTCATCTGATTCCACCTCGCTTTCGTATAATTCTGATAGGTCCCCAGGAGCATCGACAGGATCTCTAACCGACTCAACGTCTTCTTGAGGCACCAGGCTATGGTCAGCTATGTTCACATCGTCCGCATCAACCGGCCCAAACAATCTTTCAGATCTCATCGCGTCGATAAAGTGCGGGGAATCGAACACATCCAGACCGGTCCAACTGGTCGCAACCTCGCCACATCCTTGTTCTGTAGGAGCCGTCAATCTACCTTCGACGTCATTACCGTACTCTGTATCTGCCGCCGCAGTCGGTTCCGTATCCGCCGGCGCAGCTAACGGCATGGCATCAACTTGCTCGGTATCCGCCGCCACAGTCTCCTCCTCAGCGCCCCCTTGTTCTGTATCCGCCGGCACAGTCTCCTCCTCGGCGCCCCCTTGATCTGTACCCGTCGCTACAGGTTTCTCCACGCCGCCGCCTTGATCTGTACCCGCCGCCACCGTGTCATCTCCCACTGCGCCTGACAAGAGGGTTGGCGAGGACATTCGTTTCCTTGCAGCTGCATACGCGGCCTTCTTTCCCATTGGAGGCCGTCCGACAGTTATTGGGCCCCGAAAAGAGGGGGTAAGACGAGGTATCAACCCTTCTCGCATAGCAAAACCCCACAACGCTTTTGTGCCTAGTACATACAGCGTTAGAAAAAAGTAAGTCATGTTTATGGCGGGCAACACGCACCAACAAAGTACTCCAGTCCTGCCTTGTCCTTACGAAGCCGACATTTCACGCCTGGTTTTACATAGGTGTGCTCCGAGTCCAGGCCTGTCGGCTGTCTTGCCTTCCATTCAGCCTTGATCAGAGAGGCCCATAAACGCTTGAACTCCTTTGGGTCAATCCACTCCGTCATTTCTGGACGATTTCACGAAATGGTGGGCGGGAAGATGGGATGAAATTAGAATTATGAAACCTCTGGACGAAATGCGTGGGCGAGAAGATGACGGGATGAAGTTAGAATTTTGCAACTCTGGGCCTTTTATATTGCCTTTTCTATTGCAGAGGAATAATACCCGTCTATCTCCTGGTCTCTGATCCAAAATGATAAGATGCCCCATCCCCACAAATACAAACTCCTATATGCGCAGAATCGCTGTTGCCATTCGCGTTATATAAGCTTGCATCATACTTCCCACTGTCATATTACATATTCTGTATAATACAGAACACCGGGCTTAAAGAATTTATACTATCAGAACACAATTTAAATCGGTCGTAGATGACAAACATGGTAATAATTATTTTGATACGCATGCACCGAAAATGACAGGAAAACATACGAAGGCCAACATGAACCAATACAAAAAAGTATTGAAAGAGTGGATGAAGGTTGTATTAAACACATAAGTTTCTACTGCCACAATATCACTCTGCATCGAGAAACTATCCTCCCGAAGTTGCGATTCGTCTTTGAATACGAATGTGCTTGGTGTGTTTTCTTTGCTAGTTGAGAGAAATTTATTTGTCAAGCGCCCTCTCACTCGTCGAAGCACCTCGATCTTTTTTTGTTTCAAATCTATCTC